CCCGTCGCACGTTTGGGCTCCCCGACCCTTATTGCGCTTAGGCGCTCCGACCGCGACCTCAGCTCAGGCGGGACTACCCGCTGAGTTTAAGCATATCAATAAGCGGAGGAAAAGAAACTTACAAGGATTCCCCTAGTAACGGCGAGCGAACCGGGAACAGCCCAGCCTTAGAATCGGGCGGCTCCGCCGTTCGAATTGTAGTCTGGAGAAGCGTCCTCAGCGGACCGTAAGTCGTTACTCCATTCAGCTATCCCAAAGACTATGCCTATAAATAAAAAAATGGATCGAAAGTTCAAAGTCAGTCAATAAAAATACAGACCCGAAAGCACATAAATTGATTTCCAAAAAAAACAACAGAGATTAAAACCTATAAAAGCAAAAGCACAGGATGAAATCAATCCTAATTTTACTTCGATTATTATTCCATTTTTTACCAAAAGGGTTAGCGACGGTGATCGTACAACATTAAATTTAAAAGAGGTAAATCACTATACCCAAAATTTTCTTCTTTAATTTAGGCTTAATACCCATACCAATATCATCAATGGACTGCGATCAAGAAGCCATTAATCTCAACTAAAAAATTTGCATGTGGGGCGAAACTAATTGAAAAAGCAAAAGGAGAAACAAATACAAATCTACAAAATTGAGGTTGAAGAGAGGGATTGTTTTCAATATCAAATACACAACAAAAAATCATGGGCAAAATTGATAAAAATCGTACCTGCATGTAGAAGAAATTTGAGGAAGAAGAAGAGAATCGGGGAAAATATGCAAGCTGAATCTGTAAGCATTCACAAAGAAAACAAAGGAGTGAACAATAAAAAAGTTAAACAGAGTAAATAGCAGAGAGAAAATAGGCGTAAACGCGTTGCAACTTGCAATCATCGGAGAAGATGAAATCTAGAACACTTTAGAGAAAGGTGGAAAAGAAAAGCAAGATGGTGCGTTGGCTGTTCATCCTGAGGTTAAACGACACGTTTCTTACATAATACAGCAAAAAGTCCAAAATGCCCTTAATTGGATTTATTTTGGAGCTTAATGTCGAAAGTCTTTCTCTTCTAATATACTAGGCGGGCTTGGTCCGTGCCAGCACGGACCCAACATTATTTAACTCTACATGATATCTAATTGCAGATAAATTAATATTATAAGTATGAAATCGAGTAGACAATATTTCATGCTAATTGGTAGATACTTATTTACATACATTTTCAACAAAATATACGTTGTTTGCGTCTACGGGAGCATTACATTAAGGGATGCTTAAAGTGCCACAACAGTTACAACATATATGACATAACTATTTACATATGCGGTCTTTTGTCTTCTTTCGGGTTCTTTTTCTAGTAGTTCTTCAGCAAAAATATTTGCAAAGAAATAAACATGTTAAAAACATCACATACTTGTTATAGAAAGCACATAAGTTGAAATATACAGGATGGTAAAATTTTAGGTAAGCTACAGTAGAAAGTAGCATATATGAAACAGAAAATAACTTCCATATACAACATAAGGAAGAGATTCAAACAGGATATGGTTTGTGCCTGTATTGGCAAAATATGAAAATTAATTCTTTAACTTACACAGCAAATTCATAAACTATAAAATGTGTGCTATTCCAGTGATCCTTCACAGAAGCACTTGATGCCTCACTGAACCAGACTCAATATCCTTATAGGAAAGAAATATCCTTAATTTAAATGTGAAGCTGACAAGTAATTTTGTATGCATTACAGCATAGTCCAGCTAACATGGTCAAGAAAATTAGCGAAAAATAACTTTTCTTGTAGCCTCAAGTTAAAACAATTGCGGAAACAATTATGTTATTTAGAGGATCCTTCCAATAGAATCCATGTTAAAAAGCATTCCTATATTTACAGTTATGAGAATAAAGAAACTAAAAGAATGCTTTCCTATCCACTTCCACTGTAAAACACACATCAACCACCTCCAACTATAAAGATAAAAATAATTGTTTTTCTTTTGGGATGTGCGGACTATCTGCTAGCCAGGGACTAAGAACTATCAAAGTAAAAGTCACAGGCAACAACTATATCTATATGCAAACTAAAAGATGTTCAACTGAGCAAGAACAAAAGATGATCATTTGAGCAAGGACTTGTAGCAGCTTCAATACTCATCAATACATACAATAATATATTGTTTTCTTAATGACTAAAGTCATTTTTAACGATTTTCACATAGTTCAAAAGTTTGTTTTACTGCTCCTTTTTGTTACTTTTATCTTTCTTTAACCAGTAATTGGTAACGCTAATACTAATATGTATCCTGCTAAATGAGTAATAATTTCAAATTTTATTGAACTGGATTTCAGCTATTTTAATTCTATTTATTTTTGCAATTAAAGAATATACAATATCTGAGGCCAATTGTATTCAACCGCTCGTTTGAGTTGTTTGAGACAAGTGACTGTAATTATCAAGGTTGTGCTTACTTTGTTTATATTCTCGCAGCAAACACTCTGTTATTGTTGTATTACAACGTAATATAATTCCTAGACTCTTGGTGAATAATTTGTGTTTGAAATGTTGGCTGGTTTTATTGTTGATGTTCTCCAAGCAGTGTTTACAGCACTGTGGGTAATCTTGACACTTTGTTCCTTTCACAATATATTGTCCCCTTTTATGGAAACTTTATTTGCTGATCTGACTTGATAAGCAGTAACTTTTGAGAGGTATTATCATGCATTTTGGTGATTATGTGACACCCTTCCTGTCTGGGAAGGTTATGATTTTCCCTATAGCATTCTAACGTGTTTGCTTCATAATAGTCTAGCATGCTGCCTATAGGGACCATAATGGTTAGATTCACTATCTAAAATTTGACATGTATCAAGTCTATTATCATTGCTCTAAACGGCATTGTACATAGTATACATCCATTAGTCATTCTCATTATATAGACCATCTCTTGTAACACATAAAAGAAAACTAGACAGAAGTGAACAGTAATCCTTTTCAGATAAAGTGCATTGTTCATCTACACAATCATAGTGCCTCATGCATCAACCACTTCAAGAAATTAAAGAAAACTAATTACCACAGACTTTTTAATAATAAGTAACATCTAACGAATATACCCACAGTTTTAATCATTGACGAAAAGATAGATCATCAAAGCCATTTAACGGGAAGAAACCACATCAGCAAAATCTATATGAAACTTGGGAGTAGACTACTATTTAATAACTAAAAACTTTCACATCAAGAGTCAAGATTTTCAGCCACATTAGTGTGTGAAAATATCTTGGACACCAGAAATTTACCAATGAAAGTATTCTGTTTCTTTATCAAAATCGCATTTTTTTGACTCTCAATTGCTATTTAATACCAAAGGTTGTTTAAAAACCCATTAAGACACTAAGAATTTTATCATACTTTACTGATGGACTATTTTCTAGAAACAAATAAGTTTAATCAAACTTATCCCTTCAGTAAATCATTATGAACTCCAACTAATAAACCTTATAAAAATAATGAAATTTTCAAATAATGTAAACCTTTTGAAAATCATGCAGTAGAAAGATCAGTATCAAAAGTGTATTATTTGAAAATCATGCTCGATCCCTAATTAAATACACTAACCTCGTATCGGCGCGACATATTCCGAGTAGAGGAGTATCCAAAAAGTAGTTGCAAAAGTGAGCTTAATTAACCGCATTCAAAAACAGTAGCAAGACGTGGCTTCACTTGCATCCCAAAATAGTAGCAAAAGATGTTTCACTGGAAAAAGTGCTAACAAATGATAGTCATTTAAGTTGTCTGTCTTTTTTACAAAGTTGCATCTCATATTAAATTTAGAAGGAACAGAAATTTCAAATACCTTTCAGTAGTTTTTTGGAGGGGAAATTTGCATTTCCGCCTTACATTTGCTGTAGGAAGCATTGTCTTTGTTGGTTGTGTGTGGGTGGTCTTGTTTCTCTGTGGCAACATGTTCAATTTTTCGTTTACTTGCTTCCGCAACGTCCTTGATGGTGGATGGCATTTGTGAGACGACCAAATTACTTTTGTCCATGAAAGACAGAATAACTAACTTTCCTGGCATTGCGTCATTGTATTTTGTAAACAGCTTTTTTATTTGAATCCTGAAGATCTTGCCAGTCAGTAGCTTTTGTGCGTTCACAAGAGGCAGCAATTCTTTCTGGATTGATAAAATTGGTTATTTATGTGTGAGAGGAGGCTCAACTTGCAGAAGATACTTGTTTGTGATTTTTTGAAGTTAACAATGTACCTTGACATTACAGATATCATAAATCTCTTCCGACGTGAGAAGTAATATTTTTTCTGCATGCTCGTCGAAAATAGTTGCTGTTGTAGAACCGCTCTGGTCTGTGAGCGTCACTTCAAATTGGCACCTAGTTGTAAGATAAAATGATTGCTTAGTTAAAAAGATAGTGAATATATAATATTAAATATAAATAGTTATGTGAAAAATTATGTGGAAGAATGTTATTGCATGTATACCTGGGAACCAGTTGGGTAGATCGACGGGAATTAGTGCAGTAGAATTTTCTCCGTGAAATAGCTCGCGTGAAGTGTTGTTTGCAGTCTGAACAAGCTAGGATACAGAATCGTTGGTTCTCAAATTTTAATGCAACTTCAGCTTGTATGTAGAATATTTGGCCCTAGAAAATACAAAGATACCACACATTAATTTTTTGTTATTAGAGAATGAAGGTAAAAGTTTGTAACAGTATATATATGAAAATTTTGTGTACTTACTGGAGCTTGCTGTTGGATTTCTGCAATTGGTACTATCTCTTCCTCGAAAAGAACAAATAAAAGAGAGCCTGTTGGACTTGTGCTCCTTACTGTGTACGCAATAAGTAGCTGCTCATTTCTTTGGGCCCTTCAAGTACGTTAACATCTCAAAATTAGTTCTTGTATATGTTCAAGCATTGCATGACCAAAAATTTATTGATGGAGAAGCAAATCTGCAATACCATGTTCTCAGCGCCTTTGCTTGCGGGTAAGGAGGATTGATTTCGATTGTTGTACTGAATCTGTTAGCCAATCCTTCATGTATTTGAACATTTAGCTCCAATTTGGTCGCCTGGAATATGGAAAAGTAAAATATAATTGCTTACCTGTACTGAATCTGTTAGTCCATCCTGCATGCATTTGAGTTGATTTACCTGACGACGACTTTGGTCTTCCAATTTTTCTAGCAAGGATGATTGGGTATTCTTTAAGCTGTTTGAGTAGTTTGTTCCCATCATGATCAATAAAATCTTCCCAAAGTGTGAGTTTTGTTGGTTTTTTCCTGTGTAAAATAAGAAGAAATTGTTAAATAACTATGTTAAATCAATACGGGAATCTCAATGCTTAAATAGCACAAATGAGCACCAATTGGAACATTTATGTGTTAGACATGATTAAGAAAATGAACACACATTGATATCTTAATGTGAAGGAATTTCAATAATGTAATTAGTTTCAAAGAAAACAGGTATTCCCTAAGGTCTTGACTATTGATTCCTAACAAAAGCTTCTAAAGTAAAATAGTTTGAAACATCAGATGTTCTCGAAGAGTCGATAAGTCTCAGATCCCAAATAGATGATAGAATTGCTTCATTACACTTTAAAAATATTCATGTTTACTAAAAGATAAATAGATATAATTCACAACTTACTGTAGCAATGATCCAATTAGTTCCAACATAAAGATGTTTTGAATAGTTCTCATATTGCGATGTAACTGTATTATACAATGGAAGAATATCTAATAGAAATGTTCTTATCATTGATATGCTGATCTCTTCTATTAGATCTTTCGGCATTGGTAATATCTGCACATTTGAAATACAATAGTTTGTAAGTACATTTGTGATATACAAAGTTTTAGCATCTAGCAATCCACGGCCGGATGAATGCTTTGAATAGAATTTCTATAATCTACTTATTAGTTATTAGAGCCTATTATAAGCCTTCCCCGGCATCAGCATCTGAATGCTACTAAAAGAAGAAAGAAATATCTCGTTTAAGAAGCCCATCCTGCTCCAAGCTCCATTAATCTCTTCTTCTCTGGTTCAGATTCATTCTCTTTAAGTTGTTTTCCAATTTCTACAGTTGATTAATTCATTCAAAAGCATCAACCACTAACAGTGTCTAAAGAGATGATGAGTAAACCAAGTATATCACAAAAGAGCCTTTTTTTTAATAAGATGCACGAAGAGAATCTATCCTGGCTAATAAATATTAACAAGAGATATATTTGAAGCTCCTAAGACCACGTACTTAGAGAGTCGTCATTAGTTTCTTCTTTTGAGATCTAGGTACTCAATCCGTAGTGGCTTGCATGTAGATTTCTGATCCAAAAAGATTGTAACTTTTGTCAAACAATTTATAATTTAGTACCTTTTTGAACTGGTGATAAGTTAAATCTAATTTTTGTTGTTGATACAAAGTTAAACAAATAGTAGAAATTAAGAGGCATTGATATGCCTTTTAGACTCTTGGGTTGGTGTATACTTTTAGCAACCACACATTGTCATTCCATGCAGCTATCCCAAAAATTATGCTTATAAATAAAGAATAAATTGAAAGTTTGAAGTCAGTCCTGAAAAAGCATAAATTAGTTGCAAAAATATTGAGGCAGATTAAAACCTACAAAATCAAAAGCACAATATGATATTAGCCCTAATTGTATTTAGATTCTTATAGCAAGGAAAACAATAAGAGAGGAACTTGACATTGTTGAGAATATTTAAAGATATGATCAAATATTATAGTGATGTATAAATGTTGGTAGTAAAACGTTAAACCATAATAATTCCAGTAATGTGTAGTGGACCTAAGTATGCTTTGAAAGATCATAATTGTAGCAAAACCAAAGGTGAATTGAAGCGTGCAAAGCAACCTTTTGAAGGGTACAACCTCAACTTGAATCTCGGTTTCATTTATTGTGTGCTATTGCTAGACAACATACGAAAAGTGAGACTATATCATACTTGAGTCATCAGTTGCTATTTGGACCCAATAAAACAGGTTTATGTATACTTACTGATCATCCATGATGATAAAATCTTGAATTCTCCTCCAATTTGAAGCATATGTTGAGGGGCTGGCGTTGAGCACAATGGCAAGCACATCTTGCGTTTAAAAAGAACGATGAATAAGTTAATAGATAATGAAAATTATTATAGACAATAATAGTAATAATAACAATAATAATACTAATAAATGTGAATTTTAGGTGAACAAACAACATAGATAGTTAAATATTCAATTACCGAATTTAGATCCCTCGGGTTGATATTCAAAGTTGCCAAATGGTGTAAGATTTACGCGCGTTGGCGGCGGTAGCGGATCTTCTAGAGGATTAACAGCTTTTATCGGCTCAACAATGGTACACCTATCAATTGTCCATGTAAATTTGTTAAGTGGATTTCCATACATATAGTTTGATTTTTTTACTTGTGCAACTGACACCAAGTATGGAAAGGGCGGAACAGATCTTCAAAATGCATTATCTCAGCATTGAATATAATGCATACGACTTGATTTTCCTGTAACAAAATAAGACAGAATTAGGATAATATTAATTTAATTACTATTGGCAGAGTTATGAATCCTCTAAAGATCACCTCTTCGTCTTGCAAAATCATCAGTTGATACTTTTTCGTTTTCTCTCTGTTGTCTCTAGGTCTGCCTTTATCAACTACCTGAACCTTGCAGGTCCATTCTTCTGTTTCTGGAGTAATCGCATTGATGTTGAACCTTTCTGCCATCTAGATGTAATCTGCAAGTATAACACATCATAATATCATAATGAACATATGCAACATTGCCAGAATGACTATAATACAAAATGGAAGAATACAGAGAATGAACAAATTGTACGTCAAACTTACTGTTAGGAATGATGGTCTAAGTTAAAGAAAAAGCTTTTTCGATAATTTCGTCATAGACTACATTATATGCAGAGTGATCATCATTCGTCGTCAGTAGTAGTTGGTCTAATTAATACCTTGACACAGTTAGAGCCTTTAGCTCTTGATAAAGCAACGTACAATTGGCCATGAGAAAATACAGGTTCTCGCAAATAAATGCGAACAAAATCTAATGTTTGGCCTTGAGCTTTATTTATAGTCATGGCGAAACATAACCGTATTGGAAATTGTGTTCTCTTAAATTGAAGGGGTAGTTTTTCGTCTTCTGATGTTAATAGTGGTATTCGCAGAATGAATACATGTGTATTTTTAAAATCACCACTAGATATTGTAACACTAATAACATGAGATTTGAAATCATTACATATTAATCGTGTCCCATTGCATAAATCTTCGGAGGGATTCAAATTTCTTAATAATATAATTGGACAATTTTTTTTTAAACACAATTTATAAGGAGGTAAACCAGGAGGATTTAAAGTGTGCAAAAAATCTTCATATTCACTTTGATCTTTTGGATCAATAGTTTCATCAGTAGCTAAATAGACTTTTTCATCAGGTGGGAATTGAGCAATTAGCATGTCATTTATTTCATCAACGAAGTCATTCTTTGTAGTTAGAATTGCACGAGAAGTAATAAAGGAAATATTTAGTTGAATTTTGCCTAGAGTTAGTTCAAATTCGTTGATATCACGACCCATTGAATGAAGAATATCATTAATATGGTTTAGCACTTTGTAACGAATTTCTCTTGTATGCATGTTCGGGTATTTTTTGAAATCTTCAGACATCGGACTTTCAAACTTTTCCCACAACTCTCTTGGATTAGCGGGATTGCAATAAACTAATAGTACAACAAATAAGTGTCTTAAACTGTGTGGCATTTGGTAACTTACTGCTTCTGACATACATTCTATTAAATTATTATCACAAAGTAAAAATCCTCTTTTTTCTGCAGCTTCTCTAAACGTGTCACACATTATTCCGTTTACAGTTCGCAAATTTTTATACGATTTTGGTCCTCTTACGTTCATTAAGAGCAATCTAAGATAGTATCTTTCTCCTTCGGTTGGATGACATGTTACAACTCTACCAATAGCATATCCTTGTTGGCGACGTGACCACATTTTGTATGTTGCGGACCAAACAAAATATTCTGGAAATTCTCGGTATAATAAATTCAAATTCATAGCATCTTCGTTTTTGTTATTCATTGTAAAAAATTCAATTAACATTATTTTTTTAATCATAGGATTATTTACAATTCTACCAATATTGTCTGTATTTTTGAAGGAAACAATTTGTTGTCCATCAAGATGGAGTTGAAGATGGTATACATTTGGAATCATTTCACTGATAGGAAAAGCAAATATACGCCACACAGCCTCAGGTGGTGTCACCCGCCTAGCAGATTGGTATTCCTTTATTTCATCTACTTCTATATTCGTATCGTTAGGATGTATATGAAATGCAATTTTATCATGTCCCTTGCAAATATATTTGTAAATGTACTTAACAACTTTAATATCAGAGCAAATTTCTACATTTATATGACAATTAAATTTACTAAGTAAGAATGGATTGTAGGAAACAACCCATGAATTATCAAAATATTGTCCTCTAATTTCCACACATTTTACCGTGTTTCGTCTTTTATAAATAGGGTATGAATTTTTTCCTTTAGTTGTCTGTTCAGCAAACTCTTTTGGAAACTTGAATTTACATTGACCGTTTTTTCTTCATACAGGGACTTGTTGGATTTAATTGACCACAAGGACCATGTAGCATGTGTTGTGTAACAAGCTTAAATAAAGAAGAGTTTCTTTTAGGATCTGGTAATTCAGCACAAACAAATTGATCATATGCCTCTGGAGTAAATAGTTTGTATTTTTCATCGAGTATAATAAGAAAATGAGCATGCGGAAGTCCCCGTTTTTGGAATTCTACTGTGTACATAGATGCAACAACTTTACCAAATATTTGTCTTTTTAGTATATCTTTTTTAAGCTCTTCTAGTTTTGCTCGAAATATTCGGCTAACTAAGTCGGGTCTATTCTGGGCCTTATCTGTCGACATCAAGTTTTCTTGAATTTCAGGCCAAGAAGGGTTGCATGTCATAGTTAGAAATATATCGGGTATTCCAAAACGTTGCACTAATGCAATAGCATCCATATATTGGCGACGCATATTTCTTGGTCCTCCTGTAAAGCTAAATGGAAGTATTTTGTTCTTACCTACCTGTGAGCCTTCTCTCTCACCACGGCGTAAAAGATCTAAAAGTCCCGCTAACATGTCTATTCTTAATAAATCTTGGTTGAAAGAAGCGAAATCTAATCTTTGAGTTTCAACTTTTATCCATTCGTCTACAACATATTGTTGTAATAATCTTCATGAATGTAAGATTATATTTTCATTATCTCTTACTTGAAGTTGGTAACAGTAGTATTCACGACAAGAAACAGTTTCTCTTTTTCGTTTGCCTTTTTGCATCACTTCAGCTTCCATGTCAAGGAAGCTGAAGTCATATTGGTTACACTTGGCAATTGTTCGTATTCACAATACGGATGTGTTCTAGAAGGGGTAGCTGAAGGCTTAAGTTTTTGAATACCACAATGCCAACCATTTTGACCGTAAGGGAACAGTAATGGATATTGCAATGGGTCATAACATCTGTAATAATAGTTTACCAGTTGGCTTCTATCACTTTTTGTATATATTCGGATATGTGGTGTAGGGATACAATTATTGGTATCTTGTTCTACCCATATCCCTGCCACTTCTGACGTAGTTGGTAGGTTGTACATTCGTTGTTCTAGACCAGCATCGCACTTAAGCGCAATGTAGAAATCTGATAATTGTGGGATATTTATTAAGGATTTCAAAAACTTGAGTAAAGATTGGTTTTTAATATTTCCATTAAATTTTTCACAGTACACTCGTTCAATTTATTGGAACATGTCATTCGATTGCTCACTTCATTTTCATTATCATAGAAATATAATTGTAGATTTTTTCCTTTTTCATTACTTGGTATCAAGTCATTTATGAAATGATACATTTGTCCCTGAACTCGAAATGTGTAAATACCTTTATTCCTCTTTCCCAGTTCTTTGCCATAGCTTACTCCCAGGGATGTGAACGCAAATATATTATTGTATGTTCTTATGTAGGTTCGAAAATGCTTTGATTCTACAGTATTTCCTAGATATAAATTTCTTAACTCTTGTGGCACTTGATGTGAAATTAGCTTAACAATGCCTTTGCGACAACAGAATGCGGGTGGCTCGTATTCAAATTTTTTTGCTCCGCAAAATTTGCATTTAGGAACAGTCTTTGACATAACATAATCAGTTGATGCTTGGATTGTTATTGATTCTTCAGTATATTGTTCATGATTTGTGTTAGATGTTGATCCTGGGATACAACAATAACAAGTGTAAGTATATAATTTTGATAGTTATAAATGCATATACGTATTTATAATTGCATATACCATCAAAAAATGACGGTGTAGCTCTCTAACTTGTTTCATATATTGAATGTCCCATAAAAGGAAGATACTGCTCACTTGAAATATTAGCACTCATAGAGGATGATGCGTTAGCGGAGCTATTAAATGGGGAGCAAGCAGGAAGTTGTCGATCGCTTGTTTCAGCTTTATTTGCTCGCGCTCGTGCTGGGAAAGCCTCTTTTTTATCGCCCTGCATCATTCTATATAATTCGCGTCGCCTAACCTTCTTGTTAGTATGTATTTTTTCGGAGTTTTTATTTTTATGATTTTTACTCGACATTTCACTCGTCTACTTCCTGAATGGGAAATGTCACACACATATTTACATTATTGAATGTACTTTTAATATTGGCTAACATGTATGTATGCTTACATTTTTTAGAAGAACCCACGTAAAAACGTACAATAACTATAAATAAATGATGAGAGATTAGAAAATTTACCTTCTGGTTCAAGTGCTACTGCATAACAGAAGTAAAAAACAACCACAACGGATCGCAAGAGCTGCAATAACAAAGAGAATAAATTGCCATGCACAACATAGGCAAAAAGGCAAAGAACAAATAGAGGCCTCATATTGAACTTTGGCTTTACGCCCTGCATATGCTTGAATTGCATCTGCCATAGACTTATCAAAAACATTTTGAAACCAAAAACTATTCATTCTATATATATGGTGAATGACATAGCTAGAACCCAGAAGAAATATCTCGTTTAAGAAGCCCATCCTGTTCCAAGCTCCATTAATCTCTTCTTCTCTGGTTCAGATTCATTCTCTTTAAGTTGTTTTCCAATTTCTACAGTTGATTAATTCATTCAAAAGCATCAACCACTAACAGTATCTAAAGAGATGATGAGTAAACCAAGTATATCACAAAAGAACCTTTTTTTTAATAAGATGCACGAAAAGCATCTATCCTAGCTAATAAATATTAACAAGAGATAACTTGAAGCTCCTAAGACCATGTACTTAGAGAGTCGTCGTTAGTTTCTTCTTTTGAGATCTAGGCATGTAGATTTCTGATCCAAAAAGATTGTAACTTTTGTCAAACAATTTATAATTTAGTACATTTTTGAACCGGTGATAAGTTAAATCTAATTTTTGTTGTTGATACAAAGTTAAATAAATTCTAGAAATACTGCAGTAGAGATATAGTGGAAGCAAATGGGATATGTTTCAAAGAATAATTTCTTTAATACGACTGATACATAACACATAGCACATAATATAATATTTACTAATTTTTTAGAAGTAAATACGCTACCTTTTGGCTTAGTGGATGATGGCTGTGTATATTGTAGAATACCTATGGTAACAGAAAAGGATAAAAAAAATTCACTTGTTTCAGTCATATCATCAAACGCCTTGACTGCACCAAAAATCTTTTATGTTTCATTACTACACGCCTTCAACCCCAAAAAGGTCGGATTCGTGCAAAAAAGTAACATCCGAGATTTATGAACAGACCGGCTTGGGGTTGAGAAATCCGGATGAATACCACAAGGGGGGCTGTTGGACAATAATCATATTCACGTGTGGAATACACAAAAAAGGATGGAAAACTCAATAAGCAGAAAGATTCCAATATCAGTAATCTCAGAGAAAATAGAATCACAATTTTACTACTAAGTTCATCCTTAAAGAACCCATTTACTCTCGAATCACAATTTTTTACAACTAAGTTCATCCTCAAAGAACCCATTTACTCTCAAAACAATCTTATACAACTAACACCAGAAATAACAGTATATCACAAATATGCATTTATGTAGCTATTTTCAAACATCAAATAAGATACAACTACTGAATGCATATAAAAAATCCAGCAAGAAAGAAATCCAGAAAACAGGAAAAAATAAAAAAATTAACAAATACCTACCAAAGTCCCATTGCCAAGCTGAAATGGTTCACCAAACAAAGGAAAAACTGAAAAAAGGTCATAGACATACACATACAGCACATGCCACAAAAAAACTGGAATCAAAATGGAGAAATTTGAATCAAAAAACAGAAGCGAAAGCGTTAAATATTAGGAGGAAAAATTGGAAGAGGATTCGTGTCATTGGAAGACAGCAACAACTCATAAGGATTAGCGAAAAGTCAAATTACCTTAGTCTGGCCAAGAAGCAACAGAGCACAGAGAGACGAAGGAAAGGGAAAGTAAGAAAGAATGAATTGCAACAGTTTGTTCGTGCTTTGGGTTAAGCTCAAATTACACAGAAGACAAAAACCACAGACACGTGTTTTGTGAATTGGGTGGAACCGTGGAAGAACTGATGCGATGGAGGTCCAATTTTGGGATTAAAGCACACGTTTCATTAGATGTTGTTAAAGGTCCAAATTACCCTTGAACAAAATAAAAAAGACAGCTAAGCAAGCAAAACTCAAGCTCTTCTATAATATAGCAAAGTATGTGAACTTATTTCTTTTTTAATTCGTGCCAAAAAAATGACTTCTTTCTATATTTAGAAATAATTTACCTTTATGCAATGATTTATAGCCACACAAAATATATATGCCTCATTTTACATTACAAGTTCAAAAGTCTTCTTCTTTTTCTTAAATTTTGTGTCCAGTCAAATGGGTTCAGATAAATTGAAACGGAGGAAGTAGTAATAAAGCTAGTAAAAAATTAAATTCATTGTTGAAATTTATATGTATTAATTTAAGCAATAATATTATTTATTTGGAAGATACCAAATATTTTTTATGATATTATTTATTTCGAAGGTACTGACTATTTTTATTAATTTATTTATTTATTTATAATTAGGAAAAATGCATAAGTACCCCTGATCTATACCCGAATTTTCAACTAGACACTTTATCTTTGCAGGAATCCTATTACCCCTTAAAAAAAATTTAAATAGAATAAATACCACCTTAAAACTAAACAACCAAACTCTTGGCAAGTAGTGAACTACACGCGCTGCCACATGTATATTTAGTACTTTTTTTATTCTTTCTTCTTTTTCTAATCCTGGGTAAGGTGGGTTGCTCTGATGGTAAGCACCCTCCACTTCCAACCAAGAGGTTGTGAGTTCGAGTCACCCCAAGAGCAAGGCGGGGAGTTCTTGGAGGGAAGGATACCGAGGGTCTATTGGAAACAGCCTCTCTACCCCAGGGTAGGGGTAAGGTCTGCGTATACACTACCCTCTCCAGACCCCACTAGTGGGATTATACTGGGTTGTTGTTGTTGTCTTCTTTTTCTTATCCTTTTTTCCTATTTCTTATTATTCTCATTTTTTTTGTTATTTCATTCTCTTTCTTTTTGTTTTGGTCACCGGCGGTATAAAATGGTGGTCATCGAAATTTCAAAAACACAATTTTTTCCGGGGAAAAAAAAATCCGGCGACAGTTTTTTATCCCGATCTGAGTGTGTTTTGTTTTATATATATATATAAAAAAAAATCTTGAAAGTGTAATTTATGTGTGGGAGGAAGAGCAAAAGAAAGAAAAATGAATATAAGCTCAGCAGACTTTTTCTAGTTAAAATTTCAATACCTCAATTTTTTACGGCATGAGAAGGTTTTCCGATGATGAATTTTTCCCCCAAATCTGAGTATTTTTTTGCTTTGCTTATGAATAGATCTTTTTTAGAGTTTAATTTGTGTGTGAAAAAGATAGAAAGAGGAAAAAGAAAAACATAATAAATGGAAGAAAAACGGTTAGACAAAGTTGTGGGTGAATGAATATCCGCCGGAATTAGAAAAGAAATGAAAAAATAAGTAAAAGAAAAAGGCAAAGGAAAAGGAAAAAAAAAGTAAGAAAATATGGTAAAAAATCAAAAAGAAAAATCTGAAAATCATTTTTTCTTGCTTCTCACTCTCCTCTGCCACGTCTGCTTTAAGGATGCAAATAATTCTACTTTAAAATAGTTTAGGGGTAATAAAAACCCCGCAAAGGTAGAGTATGTAGTTGGAAATCCGGGTATAGATCAGGGGGTACTTATGCATTTTCCCTTATAATTATTTGATGTATTTCTAAAAAAGATATTTTAAATATCTCATAATAAATTATTTTTTGATATTTGTTATTTACATATATATATTTGTCAAATCACAAAAATTATCTACATATTAATCTACAAAATTATTTAACTATGTAATTACACTTGTGTGACAAAACATAATAGTGAGAATTATATTGTAACTAAATTATGGCAAACAAACAGGTCACTCTAATTACTATACTGTATTATTATTAGGGTGTGAAAGTATTATCCTAGTAATTACACTGTCAGGTAATTACACATGATTTTCCAAATAGACTTTTAAGTTCGATTAAACTTTCCCCACTATAACAAAAGTCATTAAATTTTATCCATTATAATAATAAAGTCATTAAACTATCTCCGGTGACATTATACTAACTGAACTTTCTTCATTATAACGATAAAGTCAATAAATTTTACCCTTACAACCAGAAAAGCAATTCATCAAGGTGACTTTACTATTGCAACGTAAAATTTTATGTCATTATAATGGTTAAGCTTCAGTTACTTGACAAAAAATAGTTTTATGATTTTACTGTTATATAATTGGATAAGAATAATTCTGTTATTATTACAACTTTAGTGTTATAATAGATAAAATTTAGTGCTGATAAAATTAAACCGTTGGGTGATAATGCAAAAACTTTGAGAACTTTAGAGTTCAGAAAAGAAATGAAATTAGCTCCTCGTAATTAACTTCTTTATTCTTCTTCCACACATTAGTCAACAGAAAATTACAAAATTCTCGGTAGATCCATTTTGTCCAATTCTTTCTTAACAGGAAGGAGACAATTCTAAAATTATCCTGTAAGATAGGACTTGTCTTATCCAAGGATTAGGGACTGTCTACACCGGGGACTCTCATACTTTGGCAATTAGTAGGTATACAAATTCCTCACTTCTCAAACCATATACTCCAAAATCCAAATATACGAACAAATAAATCATGCCAATAAAAAAGATTAAACTGTTCTTTCTTTTCTTGCAAGGAAATAGTTTAATCTAATATTTTCTTTCTTCCCTTTTTAACACGGTTAATATAGAAAGAGAGAAAGCTAATGGAAAACAATGGTTTCTTAGCCAGTTATTGATTGTTGAAATATCATTCAAATCACGACCTTTTACCATTGGACTGTTCTTACAGGGATCCAATATAAACTGTTTTGAGACATGCCACACTTTAATTCTGTTTAACATTTCTTAGTGTTTTTTAAAAAAAATGGTCACATATATAACTATCCGCTTTTAGACAAAAAGAGAGGAAAAATGAAGAAGAGAACAGACCAAGGAGCAATATGAATTGAGCATCTGTAACCATACCGCAGTATTAAAGCTACATATATAGGGTGGAGATGTCAAAATTAAATTCAAAGAAGAAAAACCGGAAGCAAAAATAGAAAAAAGAAAAAGAAAAAAGGAAAGCTCTTTAATTTGAACCTCTTTAAGTATAATACAATTTACAGAGTACTGATGGATCTGGGCTGAGAAACTAAAACTTTAAGGAAGAAGACCAACGTAGGGCGCTAAGATAACATAATTGGAGGATTCTGTTGACGATAACAACTGCAAGAATGAACGGCTTTGGCAGAAGACAGTACCCACAGCCTCCACAAAAACCACGGCAAACTCTATCAACAGTTTCACCATTTCTATGCACATTTCAAACTTCTGAATCACCATTACAGTTTTGGAACTCTCTCTAATCTATTTTGTTGTACTTCTTCTTGTCTCCGCGTATTTTCCCCTTCTCTTATCTATGAACAATATCATTTTATAGTTTCCTAGAAAATAATGAAAGAAATAAGAAAGCATTAGCTACATCTGGCTTTTGGAAGCACCAAGGGACAGGATCAATAAGAGATATTTTCAATTGTGACGAACACAGGGTCAGATCCGGCCTATTAGATGTGGGTTCTCGGGAACCAGTAGCTTTTGTATATATTTTGTATATATATTACAAAATTCACTAAATATCCATAAATATTTGATTGTGAACTCATTTACTTATTGTATATTTATTTAAGGTCGCTATAGAAACACATAAACTTTAAATCCTGAATCCGCCTCTGGACGGACATACTTCTACTTGCTTAAACTATGAATATAAAATAGCTATAAAACTTATAGGACTATATTTATAGCACATTTCATACTCATTGATACAAAATAATGTTAATAATGGAGTAATAATATAAACTTAACGTACACTTATTGTTGTTCGAATTTAGGATCAGGAAATTTAATCTCTATGCTACGTATACTCTTTTTGTTTTTCGGTAGAAAATCTTGCATTACCATTAACCTGTGCTACTATATCTTTAAAACTAATACATGAATTTATATATCAGTTTACACATAACAGAATTTGGAATAAGAACATGTGAATTAGCAATACGTAAATAAGAGTATCTAAACACAAAATTAGTCTTCTTTAAATTGAAAATTCTTACTGTATTGGTAGAAAAATAGGCATGACACGTGGACTACCGATATGATGTCAAGTTGCATTTGTATCATATTAATAAAGAAGAATGATGATGCATGGTTAAAATACCCATAGGATTTACTGAAGAAAGTATCGTATCTGACATCTGGGAAAGAAGAAATAGACACGAGATGCATGAAAGCCATTAAAAGGGGAAGATTCATGAATAGTTACGAATATGGAAAGCGAATCATCATTATCCTTGATTATGCGCGATCGCCTATTATTACCATAACTGTTACGAGTAATTTCAATAACGGACATTTAATGTGGTTAATGTTAGTAATGGGTAGGAATTAAGTGAGGGAAAACCGTTGCATATTTGTATCCTTATATAAAGGTCCTTACCTTGTTTTGTACGATTATCAGAATACTCACGAATGTAGGTGTGATGACCCGATAGGTCATCTAGAATTTTAAATCTTAATTATGTGTTTCGAAGCCTCCAATAGCTTCTTTAGGCCTTTCTCGATTTACGTGCACAGTCAGGGTATTTTTTCGGAAGACTTTTTATGTTAAAAGTTGATAAAACATGAAATTTTGCTTTAAAAATCCATTTGAGTTGACTTCGGTCAACATTTTGAGCAAACGAATCCGGATCCATATTTTGACGATCCCGATGGGTCCGTATCGTGATTTGGGACCTAGGCGTATGCCCGAAATCGAATTCGGAGGTCCCTAGATCGAGTTATCGCTTTTTGTCGAAATTTTGAAGTTTAAAGGCTTAATAAATCTAAAGGTTTGACCAATGTTTGACTTTGTTGAAACCGGATCCGTA